GTTTCCCTGTGTCACCGCCTTTGCGCTGTCACCGGATAAAACAAGCGGATGCGGCTGTAAAATAAGCGCAGGCGGCGGCGAGAGAAACCGCGGGCTACGGGGCCGGAATGCGGTGCAGGTGGGCGTGGGGATCACGAAGCAGGAGACAGGCTTGTTTTCATTGATGAAGGACATGAAGCGTTAACATGTGTGTTTTCTTTCAAAACCAAATGACCAACACTTGTGTCCAGAAGCCGGAGAGACTTACAGATTTTGAGAAATGTTCTCGTTCTCTGGGAGTGGCTCCTCCGGACGGTGTGGAACTGTGTGGCTCCTGTCAGGAGGCTCCCTTCTGAGTTTCCTCAGTGACTTGAGGACGGCTCATTCCCAGGCCCCTCTCATTTTCCATATTTTCAGAAAGTCACGGAATGTGTCATTTTAATGGCAAAATTAGACTATTTTAGACGTTGCTACCGTAGGTTGTAGTTTTAAGAAAAGTGATCAGTGAGCAGGAACTAAGCGTCAAGAGAATGTTCTCACAAGTAACAGTGTCCTCGTAACTGTGCAGGGTGCCTGTCCTTTTGGTCGTAAGATCTGAAATCAGCATCTTCTCTGTGTGTTTTGTGAACGATTGAGTCCATTTGGCATCCTTTCAGTTCATCTCCAGGTGACATTCCGAAAGGTGAGCGCACACAGGGGCTGCCCTGACAACCGCGTACAGAGTTCGAAGGAGAACACACTTCCGTGTGGCAGTGACCGGAAGTACTGCAGGCAGAGTCGGTTCTCAAAGGCGCGACCAGCAGGTGTGGCAACCCGTGCAGAACAGAACCCGGGCGATGCACGAGCCCAGGCCAGGAGCAGCAGGGCTGGGGCTCAGAGAAGCACATTTGGGGATCTTGCAGTGAGGGCCCTGTCCCTGGGGGGATGGAGCCCAGAGAGACAGCGGGGCAGGGCCCTGCTCGAGAAGACCCAGGGGAGGGAGGATGGAGAACAGCAGCCCTGGGGGAAGGAGCTGCCCATGTGGGCGTGACCCTGGCAGCCTGGACCTGCCTCTCCCTGCCCTTGTTGACCTGGAAGCCTCTCCTTTTGCAGTGACTTGATTCATGTTCAAAGATTCAGGAAGTCTTTGCTAATGAAACAAGTCACATAATACAGAGGTATCTCATGGGAAAGTTCATAGTCTCTCTCTCAGCACCACCCCTGCCCAACCCTTCCCTAATCTCCCTCTTCTGCAGAGAAACAAGTACTTTGAACACAAAGTACTTCCCCATCTCTTTATTTATTCAGTTCTTGGCCAATATTAATTGAGCACCTACTATGTGGAGACTTGATCCAAGGCACTGAGGGCACAAATATGAGTAAGGTGCAGGGGGCTCCGCACCTCCAGGGGGTTATGTCATGGTGGAGGGAAGTACAAAAGGAGGGAGGTTTCTAGATGTAGAGGTGAAAGTGAGGGGGTCCTTTCTGCTGGGAGGGGTCATTAGCTGGGGCTGAGAGAGTCCGAAGGGAGCAGTGGAGCAGGAGAGGGGTCAGTCTCGCTTCCCCATGGAGATGACTCATTTTGTCCAGTTGCCGAAATCAACAGAATTGCTGCTGCCTTGCCCCCCGCCAACCCCCCCACCCCGAATGGCAACTCAACCTTCGTAATCAGCGAGGCTCCCAAACACACTCACCTGCAGGTGCTGTGTGCTCCTGGCTCAGACCACACACTCCACGACAGTCGCTGTCACAGGTCCTCTAGTGGTTATGTTGCAAGGACTGTTTCACTTCCTCATTTCTTCTTCCCGGGTTTCACTTTCGACCACTACTAACCTGTCATTTGGATTTAAATGGCTTAAGATGTTAAACTTCTTTTCTCATGAAAACAACCACAAAGCCAAGAGCAGTCTGGTGAGCCTGCCTGGATCTGATTTGCCTTTTCATCTGGGAGTTCCTGTGGGACACGGTGCTCTAGGCCCTTTAGGAAAACGTTTCCTTCTTGAGAGTGTAAGCTGTGTAGCGCTCCCTTGTTCGGTCCCTGTGTCACTGGGGTGTAACTTACAGTTGAGTGCAAGGTCCTAGGTTTCCAGGGGGTATAACATCACCCAGACTGAGGCGGGGAATGTCCAGACCCCAAATGGGCAGTCCCTCCTGTCCCCTCCCAGCTGCCCCCGCTCCACAGGGAACCCGTGTTAGCACTTCTATTATCACTGACTAGAGGCCCGGTGCACGAAATCTGTGCAGGAGCAGGGGGGTTTCCCTCACCCCAGCCTGCACCCTGTCCAATCTGGGACCTCTTGGGGGATGTCCAACTGCAATCCCGGGGATTGGCTCTAAACCAGGAGTTGGACATCCCTCTCACAATCCAGTCGTCCCTAACTGCCCCCCTTGCCGACCTGGTTGCCACATGTAGCCTGCTGGTCAGTCATTTGTTTGTCCCCCACTAACCCCCCTGCCTGCCTCGTTGTCCCACATGGCTGCTGTGTGGTTGTTACTGTTATTGTTTGGTCATCCAGTCTAGTTGTGATGGTCCTAGGCTATTATTAGTATAGATTGGTTTTTGCCTGATTTGAACTTCATAGAAGTAGAATCAAACAACATACCTCCGTTGAGATGTGACTTCTTCCATTCAGTATTGTATCTGTGGACTCAGCTGATGCTCCCTGGAGGCTGATGGTGTGTGAGAAGGAGAAAAACACAGAAAACACCCCAACAACCATTCCGGCCTCAGCCAGTCGTACACCCAGGAGGGTGTACGCCACCCTCCCCAGATCTGCACGTGGCTGGGGCCCTCATCGAACCCTTGTTTTGGGTTTAAATTGAAGGTCATGCATACGCTTCTCCCAGTGGTACTGGCAAATTCTAATTCTCCTTGCACTCTAGAGTGAGTGTTTGTGTAGAATCTAGAATGACAAGGGAAAATGCCCTGACTTCCTATTAAGTTACATGCTAGTATACTGTGTGCTGGTTGGACTATAGTTTTACTTACCTGATCTTGCACATTTTCTGCAGTGAGGAGGGCACACGCTTAAAATCACAGTCTTATCAGCTGCATTGAACAGGAGTGAATTTTCGATGCCCACCTCGTCCACTGCCCTTTGACACCAGGACTCAGGACTCACACGGGATGCGTGGCCACCAGGGCCCTCAAAGAAACAGAGCCTGCCCGGCCCACGTGGCTCAGTGGTTGAGCGTCGGCACATGAATCAGGAGGTCATGGTGTGATGCCCGGTTGGGGCACATGTCCAGGTTGCAGGCTTGATCCCCAGTGTGGGGCTGCAGGAGGCAGCTGATCAATGACTCTCTCTCAGCATTGAAGTCTCTATCTCTCCCTCCCTCTTCATTGCTCTCTGAAATCAATAAAAATGTATTTAAAAAGCCACCTCACCAGAGCACGGCAATGCCACCAGCTGAGTGACACCCACCATGTATTGTCTTGGGGACCAGACATCGCAGGCTGGGGGAGGGAGGGTGCAGGACTGGACGCGGTGGCCAGTGCTCCGCGGGTTTAACCCTCCTCCGTCCATTCTTCTGCCGCCCCTCGCCCTGTTCCTGCCCCACCCACCAGCCTCACCCCCTCTCCCTCCCAGCGGCCTGG